GTAACTAAGCATTATCCTTAATGCTCCTGCCATCTACATTTATGTGCCTACACTCATGTGCAGAAAGAGCTCCGAGGCAAATGCAGCCAATAGACCCATAGCTCAGTCTTACCCAAAAAGGGTCAGTTCCCACCCGTACAAAGGTTGGGGGAAACGTATGGAATGTCAAATGAAAAAAAACTCAGTAAAGGGCTCCCAAACTGGTCCCCAGTAAGTCAGTGTACCACACTGTTTAAGAGGTAAGCATATTTTAGTATTAAGTCCCATATAAAAACTGTGGTAAAACTGAGAATATGCACCAGTAATTTAGAGTAAAATTCATTTTGGGCCTGTTGCATTAATCTCCAAAGCTATCTTCATAAGACCAGTAAATTCACTGTGAAGGTTAATCTTGAAAAGAAAAAAGTTTAGGTATAGAAATTCAGAGCAGAGGTATTAAAACAACCCTAATTTTGCCTTGTAGGATTAGCATGCCATAACTCTTCAATTACAGTTAGCGTATAATAGTGCTTGTTGTCACAGATTCGATTTCACGTATTCTTAAAGAGACATTAGACTGTGTTGTTTTATTCCTCATGGTTACACTGCTGGACAGATCTTAGCTTATTTAGTGCTGTCGTTGTGCATTTTAATCAAGGCAGCCGCTGAGCAGCCACATGGAGTTATGTTCATGCTTTTTTGAAGCATTATTCTTTAGACCTAGCTTGGAAAAAAACACAGCCTTAGATTCATAGATGTAGGTTTGGAAAGGACCTTGTAGATCTTCTAGTCCGACCCCCTGCCCTGGGCAGGAGAAAAACTGGGCTCATATGACCCCAGCTAGGTAAACGTCAGGCCTCCTCTTAAAGACTCCCAAGGTAGGAGCCAGCACCACTTCCCTTGGAAGTTGGTTCCAGATCCTAGCCGCCCTGACTGTGAAGTAGTGTCTCCTGATGTCTAGTTTAAACCTACCTTCTAACAACTTATGGCCATTATTCCTTGTTACTCTGGGAGGCGCTCGGGGGAACCGGGTCTCTCCCATTCCCGGCTGGTCCCCCCTAGTAAGTTTATAGACGGCCACCAGGTCCCCCCTCAGCCTTCTCTTGTGAAGTCTGAATAGGTTAAGGTCCCATAGCCTCTCCTCGTAGGGTCTGCCCTGCTGCCCCCGATCATGAGAGTGGCCTTCGTCTTTAGTTGAGAAACAGCTTTAGTTTTTATTTAGTTGAGAAACAACTTGGCCTATCTTTCACCCTGGGTAAAACTGCATCCTTGTTTTCCCTGAAACGAAAGTTAAAGCTGTGAAAGATTAATTTCAAGAAAGTCTTGCTCATTTAAACAGGGAATGTGGCAGATAACCTATTTTGGAGCCTTCAATGAGAGGCGGATGTATTCTTCAAACTCTTTCTACTTCATGCTGCAGCCTGGCATGCATGCACACATTCTGTATTGAAAGCAGTGTGGGACTCTATTTCATACAGTTTTTTTCACTAAACAATACTATCTCTGGTGTAAAACTGAACAATTAGACACTATCAGCTAGAAAGAAACCTAGTCCAGAAGCTTAGATCTCATCTTCCCTCACATGCACATAAGCTGGGGAAGTTAGTCTTTGAATCCCCTCGCACAAATCCATTTTTACTGTGCTGTTTTTGGCTTATTTCTCTTGGCTGTAATTTGCTCACAAGATTTTAGTGCCACTGAAGTCTGGCTGTGGTCTAGCTGTTAACCCAAACCTTAGATTAAACCAGCTCAGCATCTGTACACCTCCTCCTCAACCTGTCTGTACTGTAAATACAAATCCTCAAAAAGCGATGGAAAATGTGCTGTAAAGGAAAAATGTGACTATGTCTGAGAGTAATATCTGTTAGCCAAAAAAATAGGGTGTAATGAAAAAAGAGGTGCTTAAAACAAGCCCTCTTCCTAATTCCAGGAGGATTCTCAAAATGGTGTAAAGTTTCTTGTGGAAAACTGGAAGAGCCACTTGTTTTTTACACTGTAGTGGACTCTGTAAATTTATAACTTGGGCTGTTTTATTCAGCAGAGCAAAATATTCTGAGCCTAAAAACATTCACCGGTTGCTAAACTGTCTGCAATAAAAGTTGTGATAGTACAATGGGGTGTTTCTCTCCAGTAGCTTTATAGTCAAAGTGGTGCGGGGAGCCTTTTCCATCAGTGAAATAGCAGGATCCACAATATATCTGGTTCCTATTACATTAAAGGAAACCTGAGGTGTGCACTGAAAGTGCTAAGCCAGTAAATTAATATTAAAGTTCTTCTTACGGACCATTCCACATCATGAAGACATAATCCGTAAAGCAATAATACCCAATGTTCTGTGAAGAAAGGAAGCTGAACTAGCTTTCGGCATGGTTGATGTTTCCAAATATCCTGCATAATTGGTTCGGTTCCATAGTAGCACCCACTAGTGGGCATGTCTACACGATATGCTACAGCACAGTAGCAACAATTTACGTAGCTTATTAGTACCATGCAGTATTGTACTATAGTATTAGTACCAATGCTGGGCATTGACCATGTGGCGACGGTACTGCAGAGTAGTAATGAGCTACTGTGCAGTAGTGTCAGGGAAAAAACTGTGGTGATGGTACTGCGGAGGCATTTAATGCTTGTATAAGCTCGCTTGCTTAAGCAAGCACTAAATGGCTGTTTAGTAACAACTGTGCAGTCCACCGCATGTGCAGACGCGGCTACTATATCTTAAATGGCTAATGGTAAAAAATTCTAAACAAGAAAAGTGTTTATGCTAATGACAATTTAATTGTTGCATGCCTGCCTTGTGCATCATGCATAGCACACCACCTCGGCTAAACACTGGGCCAGATATGTCACAGGTATCTGGCGGGATTTCTCTGGATGTTTGGAACTTCAAAAGAATATTGCTGCTGCTGCAGCTGGAACAAAGGACCAGCAATAAAGTGCTTAATCTGCTGGCTCTAACAGCTTGCAGAACTTCATTTCAAGACAAATGTTGTGGGAAAAGAGCAATGTTAGAAAGCATTCAACACTGGTAGCACTGTTTATTTGAACAAGTCAGAGCTTGACATTTGGGATATCAAATACCAGCCAGTTCTGAATTTTGTGCATTTCTTAGAGGTTAAGGATTTATAATAGGAGGGCGTTCCGTCTTTTCTCTTTTGTGTGGCATCAGATACCAACTTCCAGATCTATGAGCCACTGTCTGATGTTGTAGCTCAATATGCAGATTTCACTTACCCCATCTGGGCATCTGTAGAAACTGCAACTTTCAATTAAGTGCTGTGCTGTTTGCTGGGCACCGCATTCACACAGGGAGCTGTCCAAGATGTTCCAGCATGTACAGTGTTGTTTTGAAGCATCCGTATCCAGATCTCGGTTTGTTCAGCTTGACCCATGCTTCCCTGCCATGGTTGTGTCCAGTAAGGGACTTACTTGGTGTTGTGCACCTTTCCCAGTGGTTGGCCCACTCTGTTGCTGCCCATAGTTTGGTTCAACATCTCCAGCCTCTTCCAGGAGCTTGTGGATTTCATGTACAAACGATTTGCTATTTTTAAGCCACTTAAGCCTCCATCTGTTCAGGCCTTCAATTAATGGTTGATGGAGCAGGTAATTTTCATCATCTCTTGCCTCTATTGCCAGTAATGATGTTAGGGGCTGTCTTCTTATATCACTTGATCTAATGCCAAAGAGTACAGGGTGTACTTCTCTGTTTGTGTGAGTTGCATAACCTGTTATGAGTCTCAGTGCACTGTTAAGTATAGTATTGAGCTTTTCAGTGTAACAATTTCTGGACCATATAGGGTCACAATATTCTGCTGGGGCATGTGCCATTGCAAGTGCAGTGGTTCTGAGCACTCTGAAGTTGGCCCCCCATGTCATGCTGGCTAAACATCTTAAGACAGCTAACTGTGCAGAGACTTTACTGCTGAGCTTCTGGGTGTGATGTTTATAGGTGAGGGAACAATCTAATATAGGTTGGGGTATGCTCATGAGCAAGGATGTGGTTGCCTACTCTTATATTCAGTGTGCTCTTGGGTAGACAGCTGTCCAGGTGAAATTGTGATGATTCTGATTTATTGATGCTCAACTTGAAGCACCACTTGGGGAGACAGCGATGAGTTCTGTATCAGTACTCAGTCTCTTTTCCAGTTCCGTCATGTCTGTTCCTTGGGCTACTATGGCAACGTCGTCAGCATACACATATTGCTTATATGTAGGCAGGAAATCTTAGGTATATACATTGAAAAGTATTGGTGCTAGCACTGACCCTTTCAATTTTCCCAATGTCAGTACACTATAAGAGAGATGACAGAACATTTAAATAAAAGGTACCAGAATATGGTTAGCCTTCCATAGCATAAAATGTAAGAGTTTTGCTGGTGAAAACTGTATCACATTGTTACCTTCTATCCCTTATTGTGCTGCTGGTACAAGCTACCCCATCTATCTTCTAATGTCATTTGTAAATATATCCTTCCCTCCCCCAGACATACACACTTGTGTTTTTTTTCCCTCTTTTTTATTTTAATTAGAATTTTAACATCATTACTTCGTCCTGTGCTGTGCTAACTGAAAGCCTCTGTGTAAAATAAATCTATGGCTCTGCAAACTTTTGCAGAAGTAATACTTATTTAGGTCCCATGTCCTCCAGTGGGATGATTTACGTCAACATAAGGTTATGAATCAGGCCCTAATATTGCAATGTATTGCTTTTTTGAGATTGACAGTCGTCTGTAGAAGCATTCTGGTAGCTTCCCACATGGAGCTTAACTTTTTATGTGTGTAGTGTGCTGAAGAAATAATAGAACCAAGTATTATAAACAACAGTTACACAACTGAGGGGTTTTCTATTTTGTGGCAGATGCAAAAATGTGCTTGATTTAGTGAAGTATTGTTTGAATTCCCACCATTTGAGAAATGACATTGTAGTTCAAGACACTGACTATGGTGGTAGGCAGCAGTATGAAGTACAAAATCTAGGATTTATTAAAAGTGATGTGTGTGTTTATTATTTGCATTTTAAGGTGTTCCCCGACCAAACATAAGTTGGATTAAGATGACAGGGAACAGTTCTTTCTTGCTTTTGAATGGGTCCTTATTTCTGAGGAATGTGTCATATGAAGATGCAGGCACATACATTTGCACAGCAACTAATGTGCTTGGAAAAGCAGTAGGAACATCTGTTCTTCACTTAACTGGTAAGTGAAAAATTGTAGTTCATCATTCATAAGCAATGGCAAACTTGTCCTTAGATTAGTTTGGGATATGTCGGGGGAAATATTTAACCCTTTAATTAACCCTTTAGGCTTGGAACTTTCTGAGTGGTCCTGATCCTATGAAGTGATATTTTTTATTTCATATAATCCATTCATAGACTTTGGGTACAGAGAGCTTGGTTTGTGACTCTTTTCTCCTGATGCTGTGCCTGTTTTCCTTTGGGCATTAGTCTTTAGTCTTCAAGGAGGAGAAATAGGTCTGCTAGCATCTGGAGTGGACTTCCAGCACCTGATTACAAAATGCATAATGGGTACACCTGAGTACTAAGGGGAGCTGCTGCTAGTCACCTGGAAAACTTTACAGAAAAACACACTGTAATATAAGCTGTACTATCTAATCTTATAGACATAGTAGTAGAGAGTAAAAATAACAGACTATTGGCTACTAAAGCTGAATAGTGCTATTTACCGTAGTAAATAGTAGTAAAGTAACAGGAAATAGAAAACTCTTTAAAAACAAAACCAAACCATGATTAAACAACTGTGCTGCAAATAAACTAGTAATGTAAAATTTGCAAGCTTGCTTTTCCCCTCCCCCCCACAAAAATGTCTTAAGTAGCTGAATCTTCCAGTGGTAAAGATTACCTCTTCTAATGTTGTGTGTTAGCCAGGGATGCTGAGTTCTTAAAGTATTCTTACTAAGTCCTTATTCTTAAGTACCCAGAAATCAGGTGACTTACAGACTTATAGAGGGTGAGACCTGTTGGTATAGTAAGACATTCCAAAGATGGATTGGGAGTCCCTGTGCAAGGATGAAATTGTGGAGCCTGTTGTAAGCCGTGCCAGGAAGATGTGCATGCAATCTGTATCTTTCTTGTTAGAGAAGAATCCAGATGTTTTTAAGCAGGGTGGTTTTTACTATGGAGGTGTGACACACAAAAGAGCTAGTAGGAGCCCAAACTTAATTTCTAGTTTTCACTCTCTGACATTGACTTAAATGAATGTGAAATAAGCAGTAGGAAGCAAATCCTTCAGTTCATATGTAAGTAGCAACAAAAGCAGGGACAGATCAGGGAAGAGGGGTTGGTAGTGCATTGGCTCTCATTTGATTTGTGTTCCACTCAAAGTGTAAAACAGCAAACAAAAACAGGGAGGGGAGGGATAATGCTGAAGGCAGGCTGAGCTGGGTGTTTGTGCAGTGCTCAGAAGCAGAAGGGAGTTGAAAAGAGGCGGCAAAGAGGTAAATTATTATAGTAACCCTTTCCTGGGTTATTTATTGCAGCAGATGACGGAAGCTGTGGGGCTAGGGACAGACATTACACGTAAGCCAGTTAAAGTGATCAGAAACTGGTTTAAACCTGTAACAGAACTGATGTTCAGTGCACATAAACCAGTTTGAAAATGGCTGAAACTGGTTTGAGATAAACCTTGGTAAATGTAGTATCAGACTTAATTGACTTGGTCAAACCAGTTTATGCTATGTCTGTCCCAGACCCCTTACTGGTTTAAGATAAGCCAGACTCCCCCAGCATGCTCTCTGGGCTGGGTGGGGCTCTGCTCCACAGCAGAGCTGACTCCTCCCCTCTGCTCCCTGGCTGGAGCTCCAGCAGAGACTGCAGGCACAGCAGGGTCTGCCTGACTTCCCCCTGCCCTACCCTCTGCTCCCCACTGCCCACTGCTTAAGCAGGAGTCCCCCGCCCTCCCATCTCCCACAGCACAGACCCCAGACTCATGGACCCTAGGCATGTGGTATGCTAGCTAATGCCAAAAGGTGTATATGTGTGTGTGTCTCTCCAATTTCACTGGGACAGGCAGACAGGACAGTGACTGCTTAGGGCTTTTTGGAGCTAATCAACTGGTCAGCTGGTAAGCTGTTTAAGAAGAGTGGAGAGAGAGATGGAGAGAGGCTATTGTTTTGTGGATGAGGTGATAAACACTGTTATCAGCCCCGTGCTGGCTTGCTTGTCTGTCAGTTTGTTGCAGACAATATAAAGAAGCAGGGAAGGAGATTGAAAAGCTCTGTATCATCAGCAGATGCATGTACGACACCCCACCCCTTCCCTCAGAGTCCTAGCAGGGGGGCTAGAGTCTGGCAACACTCCCACCCCTTGAGCAGCCAGTGGGGAAAAGCCTGGGACCATGCAGGCAGAACTCCCTAATCAAAGCATCATGCCAGGGCCTGGCCATGCCCTCCTCAGCTCAGCACTATGCAAGGGAAGGGAGGGCTGTTCTAGTGCCTCTCAGCTTCTAGCCTAAGCCACTGGAGGTATGCACTTGAATTTCCTTAGTCCAAAGAGAATGCCTGTTCAATTACAAACCAGTTCAGCCTAGTCAGGTTAGATGAACCTGCAAAGATTGAATCAATTCAGGCTCAGGCTTTTTGAATATCTATCCCTAGCCTGGGAGGCTGAACTAGTAGTGCAACAAGGGTGGCATAAAACTGACAATGAGTGGGTCCAGTGGAGTAAAGCTACTGCAAGCAGCTGAAGTGAGTCTTCTCCTGGCCCCAACTGTTTCTGTTTGTTAAGGGTGGAGTGCTGTGGAAACCAGCTCTGGGCATGCCAGGGGGAGGGAAGACAGTGGAGGAGAGGGAGAGCCATTACAGCCCTACCCCCACGTGCCCTGTAGTCTGGGGCTATAAGGAAAAGGGGGAACTGTTTGAGAGGGTTTCTAAGGAGAAGGCTCTCCCGTGGTTTGGATGGAGGGTTACAGGTACCAAGGGGATTTGGGAAGGAGGGGGGCCTGAGGGAAAGAAGGGTGTGGGTGAGGAAGGCCTGGGGCATCATAGGGGTGATGGGTGGATGAGGTTCAAGCTGAAGAGTGTGGTTGGGGCTGTGGGGATAATATGGGATATGAGAGGCATTGGGTGGGGGGTAGGGTTGAGAGGGTGTGAGGGACTTTTTGAGTGACTAGAGGAGGAAAGAAAGGGCTCAGTGGGTTTGGAGGGGAATGGTGAGTTGTTGGAGGGCTGGGCTGTGATGGCAACAAGTATGTGGAAGGTGCAGTGGGTTCATGGGACCAGTGAGGAGGCAAGGTAGGATTCAGTGGGCGGTGAGAGGGAGGGTGGGGTCTGATTGGGCTTGGGGCACAATGGATGGGGCTGAGCATGGGGAATATGTGGGATAACAGGGGAAAGAATAGAACCAGGGGGCATTCAAGGTGGCAGGGCAATGCATAAAGGGCAGTGAGGGGCATTTTGAAGCCATGGTGGAATACTCTGAGGTGTGGGGTGCCAGTTCGGGGTTAACAGCTGTATTCCCCTGGCACCAGGTGCTTGCCGCACTCTGGCAATCAGCCCCTTCCTTCTCACCCACCACTCCCTTCCCCTCAACTCCCCATCCTATTATATTTGCTTTTGCTTGGATCTTAAACTAAATAATGTAGTCCTAGCCCCCTAGCACCTTAGTAAAGCTTCTGGTTTCTTTTTAATGGGAAAACAAGTGTTGTGTTATGTAGTGATGCACTACATCATCTGCACTCCCTTTTCAAAATCCTAGATCTGCCCGTGGGTAAAACCTGCACTGGATTCAGGAGGAGGTTTGCTACAGTTGGAACTTAAGGCCTGGCCACCTCAGGCATTTAAATTTCCCCAGCCCATATATGCCTTTTGGCTCCTGATCCATTCTGGTATGTCAAGTGGCAGCACAACATTGAGGCAAGGACTGAAGATGCAACTATTATTCCCTTGTTGTCTTTAGGTAGAAACAGACATTGCCTGTATTGCATTTGTGATGCCATAACAATGTTTATGGTGGTACATATGGTGAGCAAATAAACATCCCTGCCCTTTATCTTGCAACATCAGTGGCTGCAACAAAAGATAGTAATACAGTGTGCTACTTGGTGTCCAATATCTACTGACTGGTGGGAAAGTGCAAGCAGCTCAGAGCTACCCTTGCTTCCAGGCACCCAGGGCAGGTGCCCCAGGGACCCAGTCCTGTGCATCCCAGGATCAGGACCCTCAAGGCGCTGGAGCACCTGCCTGGCTTTCCTTGCTTACAGAGAGGTGCAGGGCATGTCTTGGTAAGTGGGTCAAGTCAGGGTTCCCTACTTAGTGGAACCCTCCACTCTGGGACCTGCACTGATCCATGCCTCACACGGAGGTGCAAGTTAGTACAGGGGGGCAGTGCAGGAGAAGTGGAGTCACTGACATTCCAGGACCTGTGCTGAACCATGCCTCCACATGAAGCACAGTTTAGCATGGGTCCAGATGTGGAATGGCGTAGAAACCAGGAAATTCCTGGCACTCCATGCCTCTGGGTCAGTGCAGGTCCCAGCATGGAGGCACAGGGTGCCAAGAACTTCCCCCCTGCCTTACCTCCTTGCCAGGACCTGTGCTAGCCCATGTTTCCCACAGATGCACAGGTCAGTGTGGGTCCCAGATTGGAGGCACAAGGTGCCAGGGATTCCCTGGTTCCTGCACCACTCTGTGACTCCCACACTGCTCAGTGCCTTCACAAGTCAGTGTGGGGAATCCCTGCACAAGGATAATACATCCTCCATTGCCCCACATCAGTCAGGGACCCAATGCAGGACAGAGGGTGATGTGTGTCACCCAATAAAGCTGATCAGCTGCGGTGGGACACATCCTGCCACAGCTGACCTGCTTCAGCTTAGCAACATCTGTTTCTACCCCTTGTGTCAGGATGGTTTATTCACAGCCTGGCCTGAAGCAGTTTTGCAATCCACCATTCATGCAAACACAGTAGAAAGTACTTTATAGTCATTCCACATCCAAAAATTGCAGAAGGGTCAAATTAATGAGCACAAGCCTGAGAAAGTTAAAAAATGTTAAAAGCCCTAAACCACAGAAGGAGGCAGGACCAGGTATAATATGCACAGTCATTAAAAAATAAATGTTGACAAAGTGGCAAAGAACTCTGTGTTACTGACAGATTGCCCATGTTTTTGGCAGTTATTCTGGCATATTATAAAAGAGGAGAAGTTACTATGGTGACAGGCATGACTACATTATGCATCCTCTACTATACAGAGCAGATTTTGAAGAGATTTTCTTTTTATTATTTTAGCAATTTGTCATATTTCCATCTGAAGAAACCAAGGAGTTAAACTGACTCCAGTGAGAATTTTTCTTAAAAATTGGTTTAGATGGATGTCTGATAAAGCAATAATAGATGACATTGTCATGAGAAACTGTAAACAAGGTCAAAGATCTTGTACGTTTTTTCTTAATTGGCAAGTATAACAGCTCTGTTTTGCTAAAAAATACATTTTTAAGTGAGGGCACATTACAAATGCGCCGTAAGACCTCCAAAAGAATGGCATAGATTTCCCAGTTCTCAGTTCTAAATTATCATTTGCTGGATGGAGAATTTTAGTGCAGAAGATGATCCTAAAGAATTCCAAAATCCTTCAGTTCTTCCATTTCATTAATAAAATATGGAACAATTTTATTAAAATTGCCAGTGTGTATAATTCCTGATAAGAAGAGATTTTATGGATTGCTTTTTTCAGAACAAGGATTTCCAAAGATTAACACTGTGTCAGCCAAAGGGAGCAGAAGGAAGCGTGTCATAATGGCATCTGGAATTGGTACCAACATAAGTGTGATACATGGTGACCTGTTAAGGATTGGTATGTTGCCGGGGTTTATTTCTTGTTTTTAGAATGAAAGGTTTTGCTAGTAGCAGTTTTATTAAAAAGGAAGGGACAAGGTCAAGAGTGTCACTGGTTTCCTAGAACATGTTTGCTGTCCTTGGCCCATTCTGCAGGCCCAGATGTTTTAGAGGAAGGCAGCCAGAGAGAAAGAGATGGATTCTGAATTTTTATTTAAGAATTTTTCAAAGCAGTTTTTGTGACTGCAAAGTTCATCCAAATGAAATGCCACTGAGCTGAGGTAGAGAAGTTTCTCTTTCAGCTCTGCTTGAAAATGATTCGGGATTGCCTTAGCTTCTAGGACTGTTTTTTAATTTCTCCATCTAAACTAGTAACTTTATTTTCTATGTATAGTGGTTTCTATAATGAGATATGTAACAACTTGTATTGGCGCATGTATGCCCTTAAAAAAACCACTACATTTGCCCAGCATAAAGGCTTGGGGTGAAATTATGGCTCCACTGAATGCAATGAGAATTTTATAATTGATTACATTTGGGCTAGAAGTTCATCCTTGGTTCATAAAGAATATAATATAGTTTCACTTAGTGACAGAAAACTGTAAAGAATTGTGACAAATATGCAGAAGACCCTACATTTTAGTTTATATAATAGATACTCCGTCTGAGGTACTCAAGACCAGTTTTGGTTGTATTTCTGACGTCTGTGAATTACTGTAATATATGTCCATTTCTTATCTGCATTGGTAGAAACTTCCACACACCTGTGCACAAATAGAAAAACTATATCCACTAAGGTTAGAAAGATACTAAAATGTCACTGATTTTCAGGTTGTCCAGTGCATCCTAATCACAGAAATATGATTCGGTGGGTCTTCAGAGATCATCCAATTGAGGAAGCAAAGGATTTGGAATATAGAACTCTGGTTGGGGGACGTATCCTAGAGGTGAACACTGTCTCTGGTCAATTTGCTGGACAATACAGATGTTGGACTTCATCTAGTGTAAAACCATTGTCTGTTTGGGTAAATGTCAAGAAGGAAGGTTTGTTGAAAATTCTATGACAAATTCTTGAATTGTTATAATATTTAATGTTTTAAGGACTTTACAGCTTTATAGCTTATTTTTTATACATATAAAATAATCAGTCCCCAGGTCTATAAACACTAACACACGTGCCTGACTTTATGCATGCAAACACTATATGAAGACAATAGGTTTTCTGTATTATATGAATACTCATTTCATGTATTTATTTTGCTATCAGTAATCAAGAAGCTAGGAGAGTTCACTGACTTGCTGTGTTACACAGGTACTAAGTAAGACCAGTTGTATGACTTCCTGAAGTGGAAGTCTATATGTTTTGTTATGAGGATGGTACTCCAACTCAAAACAGTCTTTAGAAATTAAAATGAATAACTAATGAATGTTAGATCATTTAAGAAGTATATAAAAATGAATTACAATAATTGTAATTTATGAAATGTAAAACTATTTCAAAGATGCATTATAATGGCGTCATAATTTATGATTTACAAGACTGATTTTTAACTTTATTTATTAATGAATCCAAGTTAAAAATTACCAGATCCAAGAAAGATGCATCTAATCCCCCAAAATATACATAAAGACAGATACCAGTCAACCCATATCAATGTCCACAGAAGTCTTGTGCTCCTTTCCCCTCTCCCCGGTCCCTGACAGCTTCCTAATGCCTCTCTTGATGTTAAGCTTTGTATTTTTTTATCTTTATGTAATAATTCATCCCCAACTCTTCCCCAGAATGCTGCACAAAACAATCCCACTATTCTTCACTCATCTCTACTCCCAAATCTCAGATTCATTGCAAATTCATTCCTAAGTGTTAGCTCATAGAACTCGTACTGCAGTATTCAAAAACATTTATCAAATGTTCAGATTTGGAGGCAGGAAAAGATTCTTTCTTAGCAAAATTCCAAGAATATCAGCCTGATTTCCAAGTGAGCATCTTTACGCCTTCTCCCTGTAGAACACCTTCCCTGATAGGGCATTTTTCCATTACTAAAATTCCCAAACTTTTTAAAACCAGGCAAATGCATATGATTTTCCGTGATATTTGTAATACATTACTCTGTATTTCCTATGGGTTGTACCCAGGGAATACTCAAATCCTATGTTAATGTTGTTCAGGCATCCAAATGAATCTTAATTTTTAATGGTGACCAAGAAGGCCCTGATCCTGTATTTTAATATATCTACACAGAGCCCTGTTTGCTTCAGTAGGCTATGTAGTGTAGGGTTGGAGCTTAACACATTTTTGTATTTATTAGAGAGCTACTTTACATATACTCTAGCAGAAAAGTAGCCCCCATCTGTGAACACTTTACTGTGACATTCATAAGTCGTTAAAGTGCCATAGAATTCAATTATATAATATACTGAGATTATTGTGTTTATCTCAGAGTGGTTTCAGCCATTTTCAAACTGGTTTATGTCACTGAACATCTGTGCTGTTACAGGTTTAAACCAGTTTCTGATCACTTAAACCAGTTTATGTGTACTGTCTGTCCCCAGCCCTTAGCATTCTCCTGATGAGGACTTACTGGGTGAGAATGTAAAAATCATTCGAGGGAGTTAGGTGCTTAACTCTCAGACATTCAATGGGACCTGGGTATCTACATTTCTTAGCTGCTTTTACAGAAGGCCTTCTTTGGTGGTTTTTGCACAGTGGATATATGGAGGGCACTGCTGTGCAGTGTCATCCTAGTTAAACAAACAGTGAAGTCTCTGCCTTGCTGTTGCAGTCAGTAAATTTAATCATTTCTGCTTTGAAAAAGGCCCTTTTGTATTATCCTAAGAAACCCAGAAATAATAGGGAAACATTGAAAAACAATGAGTTAAATAATTCATTATATGCCATAAGAGTGAGACTGTGGACACAGCTGGTAGCTATCAATTATTCTTGGTTATTACAGAAAAATATGACTCCTTCTGTGATCACATTAAAATCTGTCAACATTGCATAGTACTTCATCTTTTACTGAGTGTCAAAAAGGAGGGCAGGGAAATCATTTGGAATTGGGACCAAATATAAAGGCAGTAATTGTTGGAGATGATCAGTCTTAATAAAGAAATTTCTTTTAAAAAATAGTCCTTTTTCATCTTGCCAGATGCCTTAGTGACAAATTATTTATGGATAAAATGCCTTTTCTGTAGTTTTAGTACAGGCAGAATTCTCTTAAATGTTACAGTTATGTGAAGTATCTGGTGTAGTGATGAGCTTTCTGCAGAATCAGCTCTTATAGAACAACAGGAAACATGGAAAGCATTATTTATCATTTCCTTTTTTGATGCTTATTGTATAAGGAATGTTATTAAAGCACTCAAAGTTGATCATCAGTTTCTACAGTGAGTAAAATTCTACCCCTCTCTGCACACATTGATCCCATTGACTCTCTGAGGAGTTATATGTATACATCTGAGGACAGAATTTGGTCCTACGTGTTGGAGAGAAACTCAGTAAAACCAAATTCTGCTCCTGCTTATGATCTTTTATCACTTTATGAGATTGTTTTTCCCACACTATCTGGTTTACATGTAAACTGACATGGTGCATATACATTTGTTACAGTTACTGTCTGTAATGGCCTCTCCCACTAAATCCTATTTGCATTTTCTTCTCCTATTAACAGGCTATAAATGGGAATATGCCGAGTGGAGCCCTTGCTCGGCTAGCTGTGGGAATTCAGGGGCCCACTTCAGAAAGCTGCAGTGTGTGAATTCAGATGAACAAAAAGTGAATGAATCATTGTGTGATGATCGTCAGAAGCCAGTGGTTAGTTATCAGTCCTGCAACATGTATGACTGCCCTGCAAGGTAAACCTTTCCCTACCATATTTCCAAGTGTCTTGATAGTCTCTTAAACTATGCTTATAAAACCCTGAAGTTGTTTCCATTTGTTACACCATCATTTTGCAATATACTTTTTATCTAGTCCCAAGTCCTACAGCAAAAAGAATTGTTATGGGGAAACTCTAGTACCTTGCATCTCAGGAGACTGAATTAGGCTCTCCATGTTGACATACCCAGCCTTGTGGGGTCTTTGCACTCAGGGGTTAGGGGCAGAAGTTACACATAAATCTGTTTTAGTGATCAGAAACTGGTTTAAACCTGTAACAGAACATAAACCAGTGCACATAAACCAGTTTCAAAATGGCCAAAATTGGTTTGAGATAAATCTGGTTGAATGTAGTGTTAGACTTAACTGACTGAGTTTAAGCTAGTTTATGCAATGTCTGTCCCAGACCCTGTCCTGGTTTAAGTTAAACCAGAGTTCCCCAGCATCCCAACATACCCTCTGGGCTGGGCTGTCTGCTCCAGTGGAGCAGGGATGGCCCTGCCCATCTGCTCCCCTGCCCAAGCAGGGACAAGAAGGGGCGGGGGCCTGGCCAGACACTAGCTCTGGAAGGGAATAGGGAAGAGGTTTATTCCCCCTCTCTGTCCCCTATGCCATCAGCACAGATCTGTCAGGGATTTCTCCGCTCACTGCTCCAGCAGCAGGGGCATGGCCAGCCTTGGCAGTAGCCTGGAGTGAACTGGCAGGGAGGAGGTTTAATTCCCTGCTCCCTGCCCCACCGGCATGGACCTGAGCTGGGGTCCACTTGCTGGCACTCCCCCCTCACTGCTGCAGCGATGCGGGTGTGGGCACGGCCAGATGCTGACTGACATGGCCCCTGAGGCAGAGGAGGCCAAGAGAAGGCATTATTTCCCCCGCGGGGCAGTCATAGCTGCTGGGACTGCATGGGACAAGCAGCAGCGGGGGTGCTGAGGGGGACTTGGAGGACTATGGCCACCCCTTCGAGCCCCTGTGCCATTGCTCACTTGATGCAGTCTGCAGCAGCTCCGACCACCCACTCCTGCTCCGACCCACGTCATGGTGTGTTCCCCCCACCCTCCTGCCAGGAAGAGGCTCATGCTCCCCAAACACCATGACTGAGGATGCTGCCCCCTCGCTGTTCCAGTGGCAGGGGTGGGAGTGCAGCCAGAGGCCAGGTGGCAGGTCCCCTTAGTCAAGGGGGCAGGGAGGGACGTTATTCCCCACTCCCTCCGGCATCTGGCACAGGGAGTAGGAGGGGGCTTATTCTGCCACTTGCCTTGCATAGGCAGTAATTGGCAATGGCATTCAGGTCAGGCAGACCTTGGCTGCAGCCCCCTGGGGGCAGAGGGGGTGGAGGGAAGAATAAACCCCCTCCCTGTCCCCTTTGCCAAAGGAAGCTATGCTGGCTGGCCTCTGGCTGCGCCCCCACCCCTGTCCCCACCAGCAGCGAGGACGGAGTGCTGGGCAGACCCCGGCTTCGGTCCATGCTGTTGGGACAGGGAGGAGGGGATTAAACCCCTCCCTGACCAGTTCACTCCAGGCTACTGCCAGGGCTGGCCACGTCCCATCCCCAGCCCAGCTTCCCTGCAGCCAAGGGCTACTCTAGCACCTGCTTTGCACCCCCCTCTCCCTGGCGCCTGGCCTGAGCCACTGCAGGCATGTGCCTGCATTTCTAGAGTTAACACTGGATGTCTATTCACTTGTAAATTGGTCCAGTCTAGGCTAGTTAGACTAATTTGCAAAGATTGAATCAATTCAGGCTCCAGCTTTTTGAATGACTGTCCCTAGCCCTGGAGAACAAAGTTAGGGTGTATTCAGCAGCAGGAGTGGTACCAGAGATGGCAGCATGTTCTGGCCATCTCATCTTTCTGCAGTGTCGCCCACCATAGTATCTCAGCCTTTCAAAAGGTGTTGTAGTTCCATTCCTGGCCTACACACCACTGCCTTCTGGCTGAATCATTTGCAGTTCCTTTAGGGATTATTCTTAGGATAAAAATATCGCTGTACCATGTACACAAATACCACAAACTTTGGCTGTAAAATCTAAAAACTCATCTTCAATTTTACCACTGCTTGCAAAGGCCCTTCCAACCCATTAAGGTGCTGCTCCAGGCCTTCAGCAAGATCACTCACCACCACTCTAAAAATAAGTGTTTTGCATGTTTTACAGGGAAAAGGTATCTCCTGTTGTCAGCAGTGTAAAAGCCATGAGGGAGGAAAAGCTCAGGCACACATTTTGGAATCGTCTGTCACTGGAAAATTTTAGAGGGAAGTGCTAAATCCTTAACTGACATTATGGCAGAGCAATTGCCAGTAGTCTTAAAGTCTGTATTCTTAACTGAAAAAACACATAGCAACAGATAAATATCAGAAGAAATTTGTTTATATTTCATTATTAGCAGCCAAAAAACAGATCACTCTAAATTGTGAGTCTGAATGCAGGCCAGCCTGTAACAAGTGGATTTGCTGCCAATGGAACAATACTAAAATAGAAATAATAGTCTGAAGGAGTTTGAAAAGCCTGGACTCGATTTTAGGTTCTCCTCTAAAATCAGGCCAATTGAAGCAGATGAAAGGAAGAAGGAAGTAATGAGAATACCTGGGGCACCAGTGCACCTCCAAACAATTAATAAACTCTGGCACGCACCTTCACACTGGACCCAGAGCCATTACAGCCAACCCAAACAGTTAATTTGGATGATAAAATATACCGAGACCGTAGTTCTTACTGACTGTAAAAACTCACCAAAGTGCTCTACTTATTGTTATAATGGCCCTATAATTGTTTTGCACAGAATTATTAGAAATTTTCAATGCTTAAATATACTTAGACTTATGCACTTGTTCACATGATTTGAAAGGTTTGTTTCCATGTCTGCCATATTTAGGTTTTGCTATCTTTAAATCAGTGTGTTAGAGAGTAATGAAAATGTTTAAGGTTATGTTTCCCTAATAAAATCTTTTTTTAACCCCCCCTCCCCCCCCCGTGTCTTTTATATCAAAAAGATACCATGAATGTTCTGGAATGGGTCTTGCATAAGCCATTACTGACGGGAAAAACTCTTACTCCTTCCCATTGTCTCCAGTATGGTTGCTAACCTGTGAAGGGAAGTAGCATGTATTTGAATCTTCTACTCCCTCGGCCTGATTTCATCAAAAGCATTTAAGCATATGTTTAGTACATCTCTGTTCAGCAAAGCATGTTAGTATGCACCTACCTAAGCGCATTTAATGGCTAATGTATGTGCTTTGCACATCCAATAAGTGCTTGCCAAGCTGGAGTCTCACTGTATTTGGTACAAATGTTGAACCAAATAATATAAAGACTAAAAGATGGGGGGAAAGAACAGATACCTGATTTTTAAAGGAATAATCCATCCCAACTAGATAAATTACATGATCATGAGAACTCATTCATTGTAGAAGAGAATAGGATAGTGCTCACATTATCACAATTATATTACAAGAAATATCCTAATCTCTAGTTCAAGACTGGATTTAGAAAAATATTAAGCAAAATAAATTGTGTGACTCCTGTTCCCATTGAATATATTCATGGTCAATACAAAGTGTTTGGTTCAATCTTTTATATAACAAGCTCTTTACTGTTATATACAGGTTATAGCTCCTGTTGAAACTAAACTGTAGTGAATAAAGTAAGTTCTGTTAAGATGTTTAACATGATAAAATGCGTAATTGGATCACAGTGGGTAAAGTGCCAGGAGATGCATGCCCAGAGTCACATAAGCAGTGTTAGAGCATGTGTGTACCCAAGCAAATCTTTGGAATATTGGCAGTAGTATATAATGGTGGGCAATGACAGAAGGGAGGCAGAGTGAGTAGATGAGGGTATACTGCTGGATAGAACTGCTTCCACAATCCCTTTGGCTGGAGGCAATATTGCTGTTTTCATGGGTGGAAGTGTGTTGCTTGGCTGTCCATAGAAAGTTTATTGGGTTGTCAGCAATACAGGATTTGGAAACTAAATCCAGGGGACTCTCCTTCAGTCACTTGGGGACCAGATCTGTGGAACAGTGTCCCCACCAACATTTACAAAGGAAATTTAAGTGAATTGTGGCACCTGTTTACATTAAATGTATTTGGATTGTTACACCTCAGTTTACAATGTGAGATGTGGAAGAGTGAATCTGTTTTCATTGCAGTCAGATTATCACAGACTCCTAGTTGTTAAAGCCAGAAAAAGCCCATAATAATGATTTAGTCTGACATCTTGGATAACTTCACTCAGGAATTTGTGCATCCAAACAGTTTTCAACTTCAGCCTGAGCGAGCGCATATTTGTTAAAATGATGTACTTTAAAAATCATCCCTGGAAAACTTGGCTCAGAAGAAATGATGCTTAGGCACTCAAGTTACTGACTCATATTTTTCTCATAGTAAAAGGATTTAGGCATCTTCCTAAAACCCACAGGTGAAATAATTAGCTCATTCAATTTTTATTTGTAAAGAGTTTGCAGCAAGATTCCCTTGGGTTTGCACTGTTTTCTTATTTATTGTCCTTATGTTTATTTGACTTTTCTAGGTGGGTGACTAGCTCATGGTCTGAGTGCTCTGCTTCATGTGGCAATGGATTTTATCAACGGCAAGTAACTTGTCGTCAAGCAAAAGCTAATGGCACTATACTGATGCTGCCACCAGATGCTTGTGTACAGAAAGATCGTCCTCTGGGAAGGAAACCATGTATAGTGCATTCATGTACGGAATGGATAATTCAGTCACAGGGACAGGTAATCTACTGGCTGAAACTTTTGATTGGTAACTCATTGTATTATCAAAACACAGCTGTGCCATTATATATCACAATCTGTAAATTTACATTTTAGCCTCCATACTAAGTAGTTCACCTATTACATGCAGATTTTGTAGGTGTTTCTTCATATTGTAATATGAGTTCTTCTTCATTTTGCAGTGGAGGCCACAGTCAATAGCAGTATTCAGTTGTGCTAGACACTGAACACAGGCACACTGGAAAAGCCCTAAACGGTATAATTACTGTCACTGTTTGGTTTACTTCATCCATTAAATGAAACACACTATGGTGGTGTACTGGGCAAGATAGTTGTAGGTTTTATCTGATAATAAGCCAGTCCTGCAGAGAAAATGTAAAACAAGCTTTGAAACTCTGGCATTAGCTATACTTAGTTTTATCATTTAGTCCATTATTTTGTATTTCTTTTTTCATGCTAGGACATTGGTTTTATTTCACTCTTACGAGAACAAATGTTGCATATCTATATGCAGCACTACTAGTAGCTGTGAAATCCCCCAAAGTCAGGTATGTACATACACTTTAGTGATAGGTACCACTTCCCCCTCCCCCCCAGTTCCAGCAGGCAGCTGTGGGGAGGGGGGTTGGTGGGCAGGGCTGGGGAGAGATCGCCTGCTGGCTCCCCCCTCCCTGCAGCTGACAGCAGGTGGGTGGGGGCATTTGCACAGTAGCCAGTCAGGTGTGGGCTACCAATTGGCTGGGCTTGACTACCTTTGTGCCTGTCCAGCATAATGGGAGGTGCACATAAGCACCCCCAGCCTCCTGGCCTGGGCCAGTGCAGGCATTCCTGTTTCCTACCCCACTCATGGCAGAACGTGTGTTCTGTGAATTCCTGATTTGTTCTTTGCAGCTTAGAGACATTTGCAAAGTTTTGATGGATTCTACCTCAGGCTTCTCGCTTGTCTGTACGTAGCCCAAGTTACTACCCCAAAGAGCTTACCATCCATGTATAAGACAGGAGATGGGAACAAATTGGGGAAGCTCAAGGAAACAATGAGACTGTTGATCAATATGATAGCCCAGGGGTTGGCAGCTTCCAGCATGCGTGGTACATGGAGACATTTTTTCTGGCCTGCCAGGAGGCATGTGAAAAAGTTGTTTAATTTTTTTTTTTAAGTTGCTGCTCTGGGCTCTTGTGTGCAGCCACAAGTCCCAGTGCTGTGGCAGGCACCAGTGCGGAGCCAGGGGAACACAGGCAGGGACACGATGTGTACTCTACTGCCCACGCCCCTTGCTCCCAGGCACTGGCTGGCCCCTGGAAGGAGCTGAGGGTGCACAGGGCTGGGGCTGGGGCTGGGGCTGGGGCAGGTGCTGCGCAGGGTCGCTGCCCTGGAGGCTTCCAATAGGTGGCAGAGCCCTGGGCCCAGCTAGGCAGGCACCCTTTCCCACCCAGGGCACCACTGAGGTGCTGAGGCCAGGTGCCTGGGATAGGGTCTGGGCAGCGTGGGGGGAGGCATGGCGGGCAAGCCAGCCCAGTTGGGCCTTAGGAAGGTGGGAGCTGGGCAGGAAGTGGGGGTTGCCTTGGGGCTCTGTGGGCTCGAGCTGTGGTGGGCGGGCAGGCGGGGGTGCCCAGTGGCACCTGTGGTGGGGCCTGGCCCGGCTCTCACAGCTCCTCAGGGATGGACTGCAGCCACCCTGTGCACATGGGGATGCTGTCTGGCTGGGGCAGGATGCCGGGCTCGGGGGGCTTCTCTCTCCAGGATCGGCCTCCCTGCACGCTGGGCACAGTGCAAGCAGAACAGAGCCATCCCCAGTGCAAGGGCCTGGCCGCGGGAGCCCCCTGGTGTCTGGAAGTAGCCACCATGGCTGCCCCAGCCTGCCCAGGCCCCAGCCTTGCCCATCCGCACCTCCCCTCAAGGGGCAAGGGCTGGGGCAGGCACTGCAAAGAGCTGCTGCACTGCAGGCTCCTGGCTGGCTCGGCCCTGAGCACCAGCTGCAGCGGCTGTTCCCAGAGCCCAGGGAACAGGCTGTGGCTGCAGCTCCCACTCACGATGTACCCGGCATGCACAAAAACCAAGCAGGGAGCTCCCTGGGCCTGGTGTCCTGCCCCAGCCAGGCAGCATCCCTTCGTAGGCAGGGTGGCTGCACACCATCCCCACAGAACTGTGCAGGCCAGCTGGGCCCTACTTCCAGTGCTGCTGGGCCCCCTTGCTGTGGCCTAAGTAGTGGAGCCCTGGGACAGCCCCTGCTCCCCACCTGACCCCAGCTCTCCTCCGGCTGCAGCCTCCCCAAGGGCCTGGCCAGGCCAGCCTGCCCGTGGTGACTCCCCCGGTGCCTGCTGCTCCCTGCTCCTCTCTCCCTCTCTTCCCCCTCTCATCACAACATGCTTAACAAGAAAAAAAATTCACAAGTACAAAGGCAGTACATGAAGTTTTATTTATTATCACCAGGTTTTGAATTTTTAGTATTTACTGTAAAAAAAAAAAAAAAAAAAAAA